GATCTTTTCCCCAGCATAGGGGACTCCAAAACTAGAGGGTATAGGTTTAAGGTGAGAAGGAAAAGATTTAAAAGGAACCTGAGGGGCAACTTTTTCACACACAGGGTGTTACGTACGTGGAGCGAGCTGACAGAGGAAGTGGTAGAGGTGGGTACAATTACAACAATTAAAAGATACTTGGACAGGTACATGGATAGGAAAGGTTTGGAGGCATGTGGGCCAAACGGAGGAAAGTGGGACTAATTCAGTTTAGGAAACCTGGTTGGCACAGAAGGTCTGGGCTGAAGGGCCTGTTTCCGTGCTGTGTGACAGAATGGCAGATGACGTTGACATATTTCTGACAGCCAAATTTGAGGAGAATTTGAGCAAGCCAGTTCTATTGCGTTTTGTAAAGTTCAAATTTCCTGTCCAATTACTGTTTAATTGTGCATATCTGTTATTTACTGTTTTCAGCTAATTTCATGTTTCATAATTTCATAATTTCCACTTCTGAAACTTGTTATCATCTGTTTTTGGGAAATTCCTAAACTGTGCCCAGTTGTTTCTTTTCAAATTTCTTTCCTTTTTCTCTATTTTTGTGATCACTTGTGTAGCTAACACTTTCGTTGTCTACATGTGGTATTCATTTTGCAAATTTGATACTTCGTACACCGTCCATTTCTTGTTATTATTTTTAACTTCTTCAAAATCTGCCTTTTAAAATCAGATATCCTGCTTCAGATTATCCAATAATCTCAATCTAATTGTGCTGTGGTCTCTAGTTGTAATGAATGCTATCTGTATACTCTTTTTATTTGTATGTTTGCTTGAGAAATGTTAACTTCACCAGCTTATCACCAGCTGCTAGTTTTTTTTTCCTCTGACGAGGTGCTGATGGCTTGCCTTTTTAAAGTGTCCAAGAAACTTCAGTAGCGGCAATTCAGAATTGGCCATATTAATGTGTGGGACTGAAATCACAGGTCAGACCATGTGAGAACATCAGGTTTCAATTCTTAAAGGACATGCAATTTAAAAAATCTTGCATTGTTATGATATTTCCCCAGCTTTGTGGTCACCAGCTGAATATTTCCAGAATTTTCAAACTAATTTTAAATCCTCCAACTACCTTGGTAGGATTTGAACTCATGTTCTTTGACTTATTAGCAAAGAACTCTGGAATGTTAGTCTAGTAACATAACCTCAGCATTACTATATCTACACTTGTAGAAATCATAGCTCCTAGAACTTTTGGCATGTAAGGACCAAATACATCTAATGGTAGTTCAGTGTATGGAAGCATATACTGAGAAATAAAACATGGTCTCCATAATTCTGGTTAATTAAAAGAAAGAACTAACATATAGTGCTTATGGGGCATTAATATGTCCACTTGAGTGCATTGAAGTGGACTTACTGTTTCCATGTATTGCATTTGTTATAATGAGTTAATATAATCATTTTATAAACAGAGAATCATGAGAGTGTCTCTTTCTATTTCCAGTGACTGCTCATATTGAATGAACCCTCTTAATGTCAACTTACTTTCATAAAATCAACCCTATTGAATTTAAAACTAAAACAACAAAATTGTGTCACATTCATTTGCTTCTAGTGCATCACTTCCATTAAGTCACTATTACTTCCTAGTTTGTGGTGGATTGATTTGAAAGTGCTGTAATTCAAATGTTAACATTCATGCCTTACTCGTAGCAAGCCGTATTGTTAATTTTTTCACTACAAATCTATTCATGAACTCTCATTATTTAATTTGCTTCTTTTCCTAGAATAGTAATGTACTTTCCTTTAATTTTCAACATTTTATTGCCATCTAAAACTACTCCCATTGCTTTTCTGTTCTTTGTGAATAACCCATGCACTTCAATTAGAAATCTCATCTCCTAGGGTGAATACATGTTTCAGCAACTTGTATTCAATTTTCTGCTGCTAAATATTCACTTTAATTCATCTCATGAATAGTTTAACCATTCGCATATAGTTAGTTGCAAGCAATCTGTAATTTGTTTCTCAGATGGAGCGGTCAATTTCTGCTTTACTTTTGTAGTTTACAGGCACAATTTTCCTTTCCCTGGAGATGGTGAGAAGGGGAAATAATTGAGCAAATTTGTCTAGACAGAAAACACCCTCTTTTTACCACCTCAGTAATTAAATACCAAATGAAAAGTTTCATGTGTGATTTGCCAGCAATTAAGTGGTCAATTGATTGCTTTAACTCACTACCTTCCCTATTACCTGCCTCCCCATTGGGAGAAAAGGCTGGCTAATTTCCCAACTGTGACACTAAGGCAGTCTGCCTGCCAAATTGAACTCAAGGCCTCCAATTGTCCCAAATTCGAGGAAATCAAAGGTACAGAAGGGAGAAATGGGATGACCCCCAACCTGTGAGAAGAACTAAAATATGTAGTTTCTTACTGCTAGATCCCCCAGAAGTAGGCCTCTAGCAGTGGACTTTAGGAGCCAGAAGCTGATTGGTCAACAATTTCTAATGCCTCAGCTCACCAATATCGTGATGTTATTGAGCTGATTGACTGACCATTCAGTGAGTTGTTATCTCAGCTGTGGGACCGGTGTTTCACATTTCACCTAACCCCTTGTACTGTCATTTTCAAAAATAAATTACAGTCTTTGTTTCCTTTTTCTTTAATTAGCTTTCCACCTTTCCCATTTCTCTGTGCTGGCTTGGTTCAGTTAATGGCACTCCCAGCTCTAAATCAAAACATTGAATTCAAGTCCAATACATGATCTAAATACATAAATTTGGCTGATGCTCCAATTTAGTGCTGTGGTAATACTATATTGTGATAGGCACTGTACTTCAAATGAGAATTTGAACCAAACTATTAAAAGAGTGGAATATGCCATGGAGATTTGTAGCGACTAGTAATAAATGCTACTATTATTTAGGAAAAAATTCTCTGGAACCAATGACTTCAAGAACTAATTAACTGATACGGCTTGTGTGATTCAGTCTGTTAATTTGCAAGTAATAACAAAATGATTACCTTAAATTACATCTGTTCATTTGCTTGCTTTTAGTGAAGAAGAAAAGACTAGGTTATTGACATTGTAATAAAAAGAAATCTTTACTTTTAAGGCACTTAGTTTTGCGTTGCTGAAATAAAGACACATTTTATTAAAGACTTTTGTCTTGTACCCATTAGCACAACTCACAAGTATTAGTAAAGTAAAGGACAGTATATACAATATGAAGTATTGTATGAGGGATGTGTGCTGAATCATTGGCAAGTCGACCCTGATTAGTCGAGCCACTGCAATGAAGAAGCAACTAGTTAATGATGAATTACAGTTTACTGCCAGGACTTGTTTAAATTTTAAACCAGGCAGGTTGACTCTGATTGGTCAAGGCATTGTGCTGAGAAATGAACCAGAGAATGGCTGTCACCTATTTTGAGTTGAAGTAGGTACAGCGTGTGTACGTGTTCTTTTGGTTTGCAAAGAACAGGGCTTTGTATATTTATTGTGTCTAAAATTATAATCAAGCTATATAAAAGCATATATCTTATTTTAAACCAATGTCATTATAAATAGGGCTCCAAAAAGAAACACTGTCCTGACATCTCTCTCATAAGAATTCAGGAATAAAAACCATCAAATTTGAAGTGGTGGTATCTAGATTCTCAGAAGACTATTTGTCAAGGTGTGTTAAATACTACAAAGCTACTATAACTAGTTGTCATTTGGGAATTCAGAAAAGCTAAGCATTGCTACAAACGAGTCATTGAGATACCCTTTTAAATAGCCAGATTTCTAAATTATCGTATAGTAATTATGCTACTGTTTTTGCAGTTGGTCAGATGGGTTTTTCTACATAATTGGGCAGTTTGTATATTCGTAGACAGAACGATTTAGATTATTTATAGAACACTTGTATTTTCTACAGCCCCAACTTCAGTTAATTGTAAAATTACATCTGATTAATGCCAAAATTGATAGAAAACTGCAGTTGCTTTATTACTGGCTATGACCTAACCTGGTACAAGTTTTGAACTTCATGTTATTTGTAGTACTGTGCAATTTAATTATCAGGTCAATTCCATTTAATTAGAGTATTTTAAAATTTTAAAGTGCTGGAAATCTAAAACAAATATAGTATTGACTTGCTCTTTGCAGAATTGGCAGTTCCACACTTCACTCACTCAGGATTTATTTAACAACTGTTGCTCAACCACAGAATCACATCTAAAGTTGGACACTGGGTTACGGGTTTTGCAAGCGTTTGCCCGTGATGCAAATAATTACATTGGCAACCAATTTAAAATTGTCATTTGGGCTCTAATATGGCACATTTGTGCTTCCTGGATGTTGCCAGGACTGGAGGGTTTGAGTTGTGGGGAGAGGCTAAATAGACTGGGACTTTATTCCATGGAGCATCGGAGGCTGAGGGGATGGCCTTGTAGACTTTTATAAAATCATGAGGACCATGGATAAGGTGAATAGCCAAGATCTTTTTCCTAGGGTGAGGAAGTACAAAACTAGAGGGCATAGGTTTAAGGTAGATTTAAAAAGGACCAGAGGAGTAAGTTTTTCATGCAGAGGGTGGTGCATGTATTGAATAAACTGCCGGTGGAATGGTACAATTACAACTTTTAAAAGGCATCTGGATGTGTATACGAATAGGAAGGGTTTAGAGCAATATGGGCCAAATGCTGGCAAAGAGACTAGGTTAGGTTGGGACGTCTGGTCAGCGTGGATGAGTTGGACCGACAGGTCTGTTTCCGTGCTCTGACTCTGTAGCCACAATAATCTTTTGTAGTGATTGGAAATATTGTCTGTGCATTTCCAGACTCCTCAGCTGAAGTGATCTAATTTAGCATTGCTCTCGAAACTAAAATCATTATCCTTCACAATGGCTGCTAAGCTGTATATAAAATCATAATTTACATACTTAAATTCTGATCCCAGTTCCATCACCATCTATTATCAGTACAACAGAAGAGTTTCACTTTTAAAATAATTCAGTGATGCAATTTTTTTTCTGACAGTTGCACAGCCTGGAAACAAACAGAAAGAAATTGATATTTGGTGGACCATTGGATCCTGTGACTGAAGAAAAGCTCAAATTAATTGAAAAGGAAGTTCAAGAGCAAGAAACTCTTATTCAAGGATACCATAAGGTATTGGAACAAAGATGTTGGGTTCTCTGCTTTCTGAATACTGTATCAGTGTTTTGTTTGGGTTGTTAAATAGTAAAATTAGTCAGCTTTGTTATTGCAATGTTTATCCTATGTTTTGTGCATCGAATGTTCTTATCTACTGTATTTGACTATCAAGCTCGTCTTCATAATTTAGCTTTTGTCTTGTCTAATTGCTTATTCTCAACATTTATTATTTAAAATCAAATTGCATAAGACCTTAGTCCCAGTTTAAATTTTCTCCCCAGTTATATTTCAATAAAAGATATGACACAGTCTCTGCCAAGTTATTTGTAGGTCTCACGTGGCAGCCAGTCTTTGCACTTCCTAATCTTTCAAATAGATTGCATTCATAATATTGTGGTCATTCATCCATTGGCTATTTATATATTTTTTGCTATGATCCCATGCCAAACAGAAATTCATTACAATTGTGCAAGGGACCAGCAACTTGTTTTAAAAGTGGACAAAATGTGAGATACCAGGTACTTACTAAAAAAGTAAAGCCACAAATTTGATGATTTTAAACAAACAATAAACTTCACTATACAAAGTTTGAACAGTAATACAATCTAACATCCGGTTAGAATTAACCTGAACAAATATGGGTAGCAGATATACACTTCACAGAGCACACCAAGTGGTCAAGACTGACGTCACTGGATTTCTCTGAAAACAACGCCCTTCACCTCATATAGTGACACTATGGGTCAAGCCTGATATTAAAACCTACGAGGAGTTCCAATTTGTTTTCTTTCAAAGATCTGACTTTGAAACCTGCTGAGAAACCCTTCTCCCACCGATTACCTCAGTGACCGCTCAGAGCTGGTCCTTCCTGGAATTATACTCTTCTGCATTCTTGAATCTGCACTCTGACACTCGCTCGAAAGCACAACTGCTTTTTTCAACAACAGCTAGCTTCACCAAGCTGGTACTGTATTTCTCCAAACGCTAATGTTTCTTTGCTGCACAAATCAAATACCACTTGTGGTTTTTCTTCACCTTTTTCTCTCAGCTATCGTGAACACCACTTCTTCTGAGTTCCCACAGCTGCCAGAGGTTTTTTTTTGAGCCGTACTCCAGCTCTCAGATGCAACTCTTGGCTCCCCTGATGTTTCCTGTGTCCTGACATTCAAAACCTGTACCTTTTTCAGGATGGAGCCTCTCCTCTCTTCTTCTAAGTACCTGATTAATACCTTTGGGGCTCCTGGTTAATCTTTCTCCAGTGGTGAACCAGTGGAATTGTCCGCTACATAAAGGCTTGGCTTCCACAGCCTTTTGTTGAATTGATTTAGAATTTAATAGAATTGAAAGTGAGCTATTGAAAACATTGCAAAAACTTCCACACTTATCTCCAGGCAGTGTTGAATGTAACTAATATTTTGGAAGTCAAATATAGCATTTCCTTGGAACTCTCTATTCCGTGAATTTTCACAGCACAATGTATAGAAAGATTTCATCACCACTTACATTTATCTCAGCAACTTTTGGAGATTTCAGTGGTGTATATTTACTATTAAGAACTTCTATCGTTTTTAATTTTCAAACACTTTGTTAATGCGTTATTCATGTATAAACGTCTATTACATCCATAGTGCTCCATTCTGACCCAAAGATCGATTCAGGATGCACACAGATCTGTGGGCCCATTTATAACAGATATGATTACCAAGAATAAATCAATATGCTACAAATCTAACTATCATCGCAACCAAACCTTTGTTTCCTTGAGCTGAATAAATTCAGATCCCAGGCCCTAAGTCTAGATATCCCTAGTTGGAACAAGAAACAAAACCGATATAGAGTTAAATCTAATGTATACTGAGTGGCAGAGATAGTGTGAATTACTCTTGCATATTGGAAGGCATTGAATGTTGACAGGCCAGTGAGAATTTTGATTTTTGCAGATATCTGACATCATTTTTTTTATATGTTTTTTTTTGTTTTACTTGGTTTTTAATTTAAACAACTGGAATTCATGGATTGGAAAGATCCTGGTCTCATAGCGTGTAACGGAATAATGAAAAACAATTTTGTACTAATGAACGTCTCTTTCACATCCATCTTTTGTTTCTGTGTTTGGCTCATTATCAACTTGTTGTGCCTTGTACCAATCTCATTCCTTTTAACATACATCATTCCTAGCCTCTTCCCTATCATAGATCACTTCCGTTTGTTCCTTGCTTGAACTGGCAAATGTATTATTTTTGCTTATGACTTAAACATGTGTTCCTTTTTCTCTTCTTAGCCAGGTCTCACTTGATAGCATGCTCACATCTGAGTCACAAAGTCCCAAGTGCAGTTTCACTCCAGAATTAAGCACTAAAATATAGGCTGACAATCCACGACAGTACTGGGGAAGTGCTGCACTCTTGGAGTCAGCTAAGATGTTAAACCACGATCCCTTGGTACCATTTTGAACAAGAGCAGGAAGTTACCTCCATATCCTGGTCAAAATTTATCTCTTGAACAAGATTGTAAAAGAAAATCTAGTAAAGGATATACGTACCGTAGAGGGATCACAGCAAAAGTTCACTTTACTGATTCCTGGGAAGGTAGGATTGTAATTTGAGGAGAGATAGGGTCAACAAGGCCTGTGTTCACTGGAGTTTAGAAAAATGAGAAGGGATCTTGCTGAATCTTGTAAAGTTCTGACAGGGCTGGACAGACTGGACGTAGCAATGATGTTTCTGCTGGCTAGAGTTCTCTCAAACATGGAGTCATAGTCCCAGAATACTGGGTGAGCCATTTACTGACAGGAGAAGAAACATCTTTGCTCAGTTGGTGGTAAACCTGCAGAATTCTCCACCACATAAGGCTATAGAAGCCAAGACAGTGAATATTTCTAAGAAAGAAATAGTTATATTTCTGGACACTTAAGGTATCTTTGGTTATAAGGAGAATGGGATTATGATATTGCGATCAGGGATTATCTATGATCATAATTGCTTCAGTGCCGTATGCACTGCAGAAATTCACCAAGACCCCTTAGAAAGCACCTAAAAATGCATGAACACTAACATCTAGAAGGACAAGGGCACCAGATATATGGCAACACCATCTGTAGCTTCCCCTCCAAGCAACTCACCATCCTGCCTTAGAAATATATAGCAGTAGCTTCAGTGTTGCTGGAACAAAATCCTGGAACTTGCTGCCTGACGGTGTTGTGGGTGTGCCTAAAGTACGTGGACAGTTCAAGCTGTGGTTTAAGAAAGTGGCGAACCACCACCTTTTCAACGGCAACTGGGAATGAGCAATGAATATTGACCCAGCCAGTGACACCCACATCCCCCAAATTAATAAAAAACATAATGATGGTGCAGGCTTGATGTGTTGAATGACCTAATTCTGCTAAAAACTGAAAGAACTGCGGATGCTGTAAATCAAAGACAAAAGTAGAAATTGCTGGAAAAGCTCAGTAGGTCCAGCAATATCTGTGGAGAGAAATCAGACTTAATGTTTCATGTTGTGTGACTCTTCCTCAGAACAACAATTTCTGTTTTTGGAGCTAATCCTGCTCCTACTTTTCATATTTCTAATATTTCTAATTATCTCATTACTGTCTGTGGAATTTCACTGTGCAGACATTAGCTGCAGCATTTCCTACATTACAGCAATAACTACACTTCTGAAAAGTGCTTCCTTGAATTTGAATATATTCAGTCCATTGAGTATTTGAACTTTACATCGGTTAGAATAATGGAGCAAAATAAACTGAATGGATCTTCAAATCTTCCTAATGGGAGGAAAGAAAAGAAAAGCTTCTTAATACTAAAATACGTGAACTGTGGTAATGTAGAAATAAAGCAGTGAAATTTGTGTGAGGAGTACTGTATTCTGTTTCTTCAATACTGTTTTCAATGTTAAATTTCATGAAGGTGAAGAGAATGCAGGTTGAAAAATGTTCTTTTCCCTGACTTTATTAGTCAGTGTGATGATCACAAATTTCTTTAATTCATTTCATAAGATCCCAGCAGACACTGTACGACAGAACTGAGAAGGTATCCTTTGTTTTGAAGTCACAAAGAGGGACAGGACCTTGGGTAGTATTGCAGAACAGAAAGACCTATGGGTTTAGGTACATAATTCTCTGAAATTTGCATCACAGGTAGACAGGGTGGTTAAGAAGGTGATTAGCATGCTTCATTGCTCAGACCTTTGAGCATAGGAATTGGGATGTTATGTTGAGGTTATACAGGGCGTTGGTAGGGGCTTTTCTGGAGTACTATGTGCAGTTCTGGTCGCCCTGTTATAAGAAGGATATTATTAAACTAGAGAGGGTTCAGCAAAGATTTACCAGGATGTTACCAGGAGTGGAGGGTTTGAGTTATAAAAATAGGCTAGATAGGCTGAAACTTTTTCACTGGAGGTTTATAATATCATGAGGGGCATAGATAAGTTGAATAACAAAAATATTTTCCCTAAGGTGGGGAAATTCAAAACTAGGTGGCATATTTTTAAGGTGAGAGGAGAAAGATGTAAAAAAGACATGAGGGACAACTTTTTTTACAGCAAGAATGGTTTGTGTGTGGAATGAACTGCCAGAGGAATGGGTGGACGCAAGTACAGTTACAATGTTTGAAAGAAATTTGAATAAGTGCATGAATAGGAAAGGTTTACAGGGATATGGGTGAAATGCAGGCAGATGGAACTAGTTTTGTTTGGGAACATGGTTGGTGTGCACTGATTGGTCCGAAGGGTCTGTTTCCATGCTGTATGACTCTGTGATTGTAATGCACTTTAAGACCTTCAGTGATTGATTGTACAAAACACTGTATGAATACAGAGATAGTAGGAACTGCAGATGCTGGAGAATCCGAGACAACAAGG